ATATATATATTGAACTATAGATCATTGGGTTATTTTATTTTCTTGGCCACTTGTCTTTTTTTCTAACCAAGGCCATCTGTTGTTTTTTTTTTTTTTAGAATTTAGAATTTTAACCACCAAAATCTATCTTCTATGTGACATAAACGGCTGTCAGTTCATTATTTAATTAATCTATTTATCTTTTCCTTGCACCAAAGTTTCAGGCACTGTTTTGAATTATTCCCTTGAGATACATTTCCAGGACAAGATAAGCATCTTGATCTGTTTCTGAAAAGGAAACGGCTCTTAACAACCTATTCACATGTTTTTTTTGTTTTTGTTTTTCTCACTAGGGGATTAATGCCACGTACACTCGACAGCCAGATAACGTTAGAGAAGACTCCAAGCTACTTTGTGACCAGAGAGGCACCCCACCGCATATCGAGCATGTCTCATGATACCAAGCTGATCGTTGTGGTACGCAACCCCGTCACCAGAGCCATTTCTGACTATACTCAGACCCTTTCTAAGAAGCCAGATATCCCTACTTTTGAAGAGCTGGCCTTTAAAAACCGGAGCTTGGGTCTTGTGGACACATCCTGGAATGCCATTAGGATTGGGATGTATATCCTCCATCTGGAAAACTGGCTGCAGTATTTTCGTCTGTCACAGATGCATTTTGTGAGCGGCGAGAGGCTGATAACGGATCCGGCAGGGGAAATGGGCCGTGTCCAGGACTTTCTAGGGCTCAAGCGGATAATCACGGACAAGCACTTCTACTTCAATCGAACCAAAGGTTTCCCCTGCTTAAAAAAGCCCGAGAGCAGCAGCCAGCCTCGATGTCTGGGTAAATCCAAGGGCAGGACTCATGTCCAGATTGAGCAGGAGGTCATAGAGCAGCTTCAGGAGTTTTATAGACCTTTTAACATCAAATTCTATGAAACTGTTGGACAAGATTTCAAGTGGGATTGAATGTACTATTAAAAAATGTTTATAAAATGACTACCTCTGGAAGAAAGTTAAATAAGAATACCTTTGAAGAATATTTAATTAAGTGGTCTAGGGAGGTATTATCAATATTAAATTAATGGTATTAAAATATAATTCTATAAACATGGGTTTTTCCTGTTGGCCATTCACTGAAGAGTGTAGTTTATTAATTTAAGATATGTACACCAAACTTGTTTTTTTTTTTTTTTTATCAACATGCGACTTGAGTAATCTGCAACCTATTTTATTGCTTCAGCTTTCTTAGGGAATAACCATCTCAGAGCTTCTCTTCTATTACTGTTGCCAGCTATACAATCATGGCACAGCTTAAATATTTATTATCCAGATTACTTATTTATTCACTATTTCCCCTGAAAATGATCTGTTGTCTTTACTATTAAAATGAGCTCTCCACATGAGTCGCCTCAAAATGTCAGATGAATAATAAAATCAGCCTCTCTGATCTGTTTTTTTCTGCACCAAAACTTTTTTTTTTCTGGAGATAAACCAGGAAGTAGAACTGATAGCTCTGAGAAACACAGAATAACAATGTTTACTGGAAGATATGCTTTGATATGTGTTTGCTTTTTGGTGGGCTTCAGCTTCTTCCGTGTTTGTAAAATTATGTGACCATCAAAATAAAATAAATACAAAAAATTTATCGAATACATTTCTTTTTAACTAATCATTAAAAAGACAGACGTTTATGGTTTCTTGTTAAATTAAGTACAAATACAAGTTCATACAAGAACAATTTCCATACATTCATTTATTGGCTAAGACTATTAAAATACTCTTACTATTATGTTCACGACTGTGAAGTTGTCATGATTAACTTTTCATTTATGTCCCTGCCAGTTAATGTTAGAGTAACCATCGTTTTCCTCTAATCTAAAACTCTGTGTATTATCTTGCTCAGAATGTTAGGGTTAGGGAAACTATGATATCTGGGCTTGGAATTAAAACGCTGCTCAGAAATTTAAACAAAACAATTTTAAAGCAAGTATTTCTCAACTAGCAAAGACTATAATATGGCAAGCTTCAAATATTTTTATCGTTACTAGACATTTTTATGAGATATATATATATATATATATATATATAGATATATATAGATATATAAATTAATGCTAAGTGGTAAGAAATATTAATAATAGTAACCAAAACGAACATTCAAGCAGTCAAAAATGTACAGTAATTCTTTGGTCATAATGGGACATTGAACGAGAGCCACATTAGGATAACACAAACTCCACTCACCTGTACTTCCCAACTTGTGCATGTATGAAAATTAAAAAGTGAAAATTTATAGTGTGTAAGTTATATAATAAAATTGTGATATTTAAGCTATGCAACATTCTGCACTCCTTTAGTGGCCTGCAGAATAAAACCACATTCACAACTTCAGTGGTATATAAAGGAATAGCAGTTAGCTCTTAGAAGGGTCACAGATGTATCCTAAAGCATTAATCATTTTAAAAATTTAGGACAGCTTAATTTAAAAATAGTTGTAGATATATCACAAATAACAAAGTCTAAAATAGACTGCTTCCTTGCAGCCCAGCCCAGAACAGTTCCAATTAAGGAGTATTTTACCAAGTCAATTCAAAGAGTTTCACACTGATTAGTGTGACATGCCAATTTAAATTTCTACCTTACAGCTCAGAGATGGACAGTGTTTCATAAATTACTCAATGACTTGTTCTAAAATAGTCGGAATCACAGCTTAAAAATTGTCCAAGCTATTAAAATGTGATGACTTGAGATAACTTCTACACATAGTGTCGATCAAAAACTTACTTTTTAATCAATATTAATCTATATCCCATGGTGAAGCTTATATGAAACACAAAGAAACACTGAGCTTGACAGTTTGCAAAAATTGTGTCAAAAGATTTAACGTTCGCATGTCATTCATCTCATCCGATCCTTTTTTGTATACATGTGATGTTGTCACTGCTATGATTCGATCTCCTTGTTGAGCCAAAACAGTGTTCAATGCAATAAATGTGTTGGTTGAGTGTCTGAATTAACCTCTTGATTTTCCACCCTGAAGCCAATCAGAGTTGTCATCAGTCATTTCCACTGATGCATTCTTAACAAGAAAGAGAGGGAGGATTGAAAAAAAAAAAAAAACAATTTCATTTTGGGAAAAAAGCAATAATGAATCAATAATAGACTCAAACTATTTGTATGTAAATTTGCATTACTCTAAACTTGCTATGTAGAACACTACAGATAGAAAAAGACCTCCCACCAAGGTCACTGTTTTTATTTAATCTAAAATCTGAACATCTAACATCATTAGCTGTTAGTATTTCTTATGATGCCTATACACTCTAAACTGTAGGCCACATTAGTAAACTGATTTGCATTAGTCTTTGAAATCAGTTTGAAATAAAAAAAAACATCTCAAAATAAGCATGTGTCCATTTTAAAAAGGTCAAAAAACAATCAAGACCATTTCTCTAACAGTTTTAATTAATGGAAAATGAGAGTATAATTTACATATAAAGAAACAAAGGGATCAACCAACCTCCTCAATAAAAGTCCATTTAATAAATCTATCAACAGTGTGTTTAAGAGTCTTTTCAACCCTAAATATCTATGGGATGTTGTACTATTATTGTTGGAATTATAAAAAGTGTTACTGTTTTGTTTCTTTTTTTGCATAACAACTCCACTTTTAATGCAATTGCTGCATTTCCATCGATTTTGGCCAATGAAGAAAATTTCAGTTGAGAATATTTACTGCTTTATAGTAACATTAAACAAAATGATACTGTTCTACTTAATGACAGGATTAAACATGAAAACTGTGTTGTTTAATATAGGTGAAAGCAAACATTGAAAGAACTCCACCGGTTTCAGCATACCTGCACTAGAGCGTGAAGTATTCATCTGACTTTATCTATTAACTTTTCATTCCTGTTGCTTAATCCCTCTGCTGCATGAGTCCGGTTGCCTTATCCAGCCATGATTAGACTCATGCAATAATGCAACACTGTAAACTGGCTGTAACCTGTTTTACAACTGATGAACACCTGTTTGTTTGCCAACAGCAGTGTTTAAACTGTCATTTGTGATATTTTTTATTATAATTGATTAACCTGCCTGTTATTTCTGCAGCTGTATGCTTCTTAGAGAGGCATCAACAGACATACCATTTTAGCAATAAGCTCCAATTTATCTCTCTCCAGTTAATTAAAAGTTTTCCACAAGAATGCTTAGGGCTAGATGACACTAAGGAAATTCTACCGTGCACAATATACAACACCAGATGTTTCATAAGTCCCTTAAATTGCTTCTTTGTGAGGTTTTACTTAGTTTATATAAAATCTGATTTTTTTCCTTTTCCTACTAGACGATCCTGCATGTGAAGCATGGGAAAACAGTCAGGGTTTTATTAAAATATCTTTTAAAATTTAAAGGGCATTAAATATAACACCTGTTACACCACCTGTGTATATATTGTAATAACTTCTCATTATAAAGAAACAAAGGTTCACTGAAAACTAAAAGCTGTCCGACTGACCATTCTAACCTTCAACGTAAATACCAAAGAAGCTGTTGTAAATGTCATGAACTTTGAAAGACTCTGAGGTAAAATAAACCTCTGCTGCTCATCAGAAATGTCTAACAGTTCACACTGGAACCCATTAAATGAGAGCACATTTATTTTCCACTTCAGTAAATGAAAACATAATGAGTCCAAATAGGTGTTTGTAACTGCTGCTGTTAAAGCTCCTAAATTTAATCTGAAATCATGAGCTAAAAACACTAAATGTCTTACAAAGAAACAACTAGGGAAAAAACAGATGTAGCATAGATTCTGTAAATGAAAGATGCAAAACAAAAATAATTTAAAGGAAATTATCATTAGCCTGGCCTTGAATGTATGACGTGGATGGATGGATGGATGG